CCAAGAGAGAATCAATCGGGGATTCTTTTTCCCTGAAGCAGCGCCGACATTCCATTTACCCAGCTGTTGCGTGTTCCCTGGATAAATTACTCCACACTGCTAACTATTTCTCACGGGCGTTTTTTTTTCTTCGATTTGAAACCCCGCAACCACAGGTTAAAAAAAAACGCACTTGCGTCTGACAGCACGGAACGCCTCAGTGGCCGCCAATGCACCGAGGGCTTTACCCTGGCTGTGCACAGTGTTCAGCTGGTTGTTGAAGGGTCATGGTGAGGTTGGTGGAGGTGCTGGGGGGCCACGTGAGGTGATAAAAGGGCGTCTTGCTCTGGTTGACCGCGTCGTACATGTTGACGCGACGCTTACAGATCTCCATGTTTTGGAAGCACGACTTTACTCTGCAGGGAGAGAGAGAGGGAGGGAGGGAGGAGTGAGCGCTGCGTCTCGCCAAAGCGGCAGATGTTATTTCACGGTTTGAGTGGTAATTGTACGAACAACAACAACATCAACAACAACAACGGGGCCCGTTTGGCACTCACTGTGTGCTGTGAGGGAAATCGAGGAGATGTGACATGGTAACAAAGGGGTGGTTGAGCGTTTCGATAGGAGTGATCCTCTTGTCGGCGTCAATGGTCAGCATCTTGGTCAACAAGTCGATGAACTCCCTCCTGTCGGCCTTCTCTGCCAGCATGTCGCTCCCCTCCAGCTCCGACGTCATGTTCACCTGGAGGTACCAACATAAGGCTTTATTGAGAATTCAAGGATTCTCGTGTTGCTGCGGTGACAGTGGGGGAAAAAAAAGAAGAAAAAAACGCTCTCCCACAACTTATTCCCAAAGAGGGGCCTATTAATACTCACAAGGCCTCATCAGTTAGGGTGTCAGTGTGAGTGTCACGGAACTCGGTGATAACCTTGCACCTAAGTGACATTATAAACATTTGCACTGGTATTTTCAGCCCCACTTGAAATATCTCCTGGCGCCTCCGCTGGGATTTTATTTAATCTATTCCTGAGATGTGAGAATAAACAAAAACATGAACCCCAATACATGTTGCCATTGGTACCATATTTCTAATGTAAACACACAGAACTAGGAGTGCTTGATTTGTTAGGCTGAACATTAACTCTGGGGACTGGGTTTACTTGTACTTTTACTGGGTTTAGGTACGAAGGAAGTCTGGGTTTAAGGAAACTAGCAAGTAGTCAGGCAGTACGAGGACAGTGACGGGGACACAGCCAACAGAAAGGCAGCCGCCATGTTTATTGTGAGCGCCATGCAGCGGTAGCGGGGCTGTTTTTAATAAAGACGCAGCGCTTATCTCTGGGCCTGCTCCAGGGGCTATCAGATGTGCTGCCAATCAACACCGCAAATCTGATTCAGTTCTCTTTCCCTATGCAGGTTATTCAGGCTCTGCAACCATTCCCCTCCGCTTGCCACCTCCGCTGGCTGTGATAAAAGAATAATCTGCGGAATGAGGTGAGACATGATCACGTCGTCCTCTGCTGGTGGAAAGAAACGACTTTGGGGAACGCACACAGTCTGGTTGTGCGTGGATAGAAGTTGGGAGTTGGCAGAGAGGTGCCACAATAATCAGACGGAAGCCTGAAAAGGGAAAAGAATATTCCAATCGCCCGTTAAATGAATATCCAGTGAACTTACTGGAAGGAAAAGGCATTTCCGTGCTTCGTTTTCTAACAACAAGCCAAAGGCAACATTTGTCATTGTTGGAGTGATTGAATGTACATTTAAAAAGGGCCACTAAAGTCAAGGGGCTTCAACTGATGTGGTCAGTCAGCGCTGCATGTTTTGCGTGTCGACGGCTCTTCACGGAGCCACATCTGTGCCGTGGGGAGCGCTGACATGCTACTCCGGAGTGAAGGCAGGGACGGCAGATGTCGAGCGGTGCCGCATGCAGGACTCCGGCCTGTCTCCTGCACAACACTATTCGACTTGTGCAGATTCACCCGTAAACTTTGTTACTCAAGCACGGGAAGAGCAGCAGAAGAGAGTGACGGTGTTATTTGCGTTATAAGTGTGGGTGTGGTAAAAAAAGAAAAAATGGAAACGCGGCGACGGCTTCACTCGTATCAACGGAGATAAAGGATTGCAGATTAAAATGAATGCGTTTATTTTTGAGCAGGCCTTCCTTCCATCTACATCAGTCCTCAAGCGGGATCCTGCATTTGCTCCAAGTTGGTCTCTGATTTACTCAAATTAGATAAACTTGTGACTGAAGCCTCCCAACATTTCCCACGACTAAGAGGAGGTTCATTATCTCTTCCTGGCACCCAGCCTTTCTGTCTCTCAGGGCCTTCAGCTACATCATCCATTATACACGCAGAGACAGATGTCCACAATGCTGACTTGTTTATAGGATAGGAATAGTGAGATGAGGAAGAAATAGGCAGTTTTCTCCCACGTTAAGCTCGTGCAGCTCTGCAACATCGCCCTCGTGGCAAGCTGAGTCGGGCTGCTGCAGCGAGAGAAGGATGGGACACAGAGCTCGGAGCGTCGGAGACAGAGATGACCCAAGGGATATCATAGCAGTGCAGGTTGGTTTCATTAAAGTGAATGTGTGTGCATGCGTGTGCGTGTGTGTGTGTGTACTGTTACTCAACGAGCCCCGACAGCGATACTATCTTGCCGCACCCGACAGCCTGCTATTCCACACTGGCCTGACAACGGCCTCAGGCTCTACTGGACAACCGTAATTGTCTCCATCACTTAAGTCACTACTTATCCACAGTTTGGGCAGCAGGTCGACCATTGTTCAAAGAGAAATGATGCACCTGCTCAACTCTTATCTCTGGGCCTGTCATTGTCAGAGGGAAGATCGAGGTGCACGATGACATGAGAGCACTGTCACAGATTCGAGGGGGCGCTGGGAAAAACATTGTAATTTTCCATCACGCTGCCATTTCTGTCAGCAGGATCAGTATTTGGCCAAGTAAAGGTTGAAACCCCCCCCCACTTAATATCATCTCCCTTTCAGGCACATCCTATCAAAATGTGATGGCTACATGTGAACTTCCCCACCGTGGAGAGACCAATTCAGGCGGAGTCATAGAGGAAAAGGACGTTAAATGTATCCGCATTCAGTAGAAGAGCTTTTTCATACAGACGTTTTGTTGTAATATAATTCCCTTCCTGGGGTTCAGCAAAAGCTCCTTAACAAGCAGATTCCCACAGGTGACATGCAGGTCTGCTCAGCGGCTGCGCCATGAAGACGCAACGCGCCGCCGGACCCACCGAGCTGGTTTGCAGAACTGGAAATGTGTGTGTCAAGAGCGGGAGAGAGTCCAACACTTCCTCTATGTATTTACTGTACATGTACTATACACACGCACATATTAAGACATGGCCACAACAGTCAATGCAGCTTAAATAATAAAGCAAACTGTACATATACCACATGCTCGGCTTGAATGTCTGCAGCTTATTTGATAGCGGTTAAGCGAAATGAAGAGCAGATTTCAGAGTTGGGGAGCGGTTCCAGTGAACAGCTGCTTTCATTTCACTTTGTAGATTTCCAGAAAGAAGCAGAGCTACAATGCATCTGGAGATCAGGCCTTTGGCGGCACAAATATCTTAAAGCATCTCAAATATTTCTTCGATGGATCAAACAGAGGTGACCCACGCCTTAAATGCAAGACAGGTGGATGTCATTCAAGCAAAAGACCGAGCAAAGGCAAATAATCCATTGTAGGATTCGTGGGGTGGGGAAGAGTCGTGCTATGTGTGACCCAAACGGCGTACCTGCGCCATATCATCCAAGCAGTTGAAGATGTACTTGCGAGCCTCCTTGGACTTGATCCCCGTTTCGCCCTCGTGGTCCTCCGGAGTCTGCGGGAGACAAGAAGCAGATGTTGCTCTCAAATTCACATCACACTTCCCCTCTGGAAACGCACTATTTACATTTGGCTCATTACAGCCTCTTGTTTGTTGGTGTGCAGCAGGACTCGACTTGCCCTCCGAGCAACCCCGGGGTAGCACACAAACGCTCATCTGACAGCCAGGGATGCAGGGGGGAGAGACACGGGGGGGGGCGCCATGTGGAAGCACACACTTTATCACTGAGATGACGCACCGAATGTAAACGGTGTAAAGCTTCTCGCAAATGTGCACATGGACACATTCACGTAAACACAAGTGAAAACAGGTGTAAAAAAATGCACACAGTACCGATCTGAGTTGAATGTGACGGTTCCTCGTATTTTTAATTACAGTCAGCAGAGTGATACAGCTGCTGTTGTGTGGAAACATGTGGCAAGGTCAAATTAAAGCTAAGCAATCACTCTTCAGGATGGAAAAAAAACGTGGCGAGGACGCCTTGAAATTTGATTTTCCACAAAGCAGAGAGACTGGTTGCAGCAGGTGTGTTGGGTCAGTGACTTTCCATAGAACAATGTGACATTAAAAGGCTGCACAACGTTTAGCTGACAACTGCTAGAAGTCCAGGGACAGCGGACTCGGGAGCATTTATGCTTTGTGACTTCATTTAAAGTGCAATTATCTTTGGTTCGTTACTGGGATTCATCAGAAGCAAACGCAATCCCGGGCTCAGCTGGATCAAACACTGAAAGGACGTTACTGCCCCGCCGAACAAAAGTTCAGTTGAAGTTAATTAGGGTAGAAATGAAGGAAGGTGCTGACCTCCTCACTGAGCGGCCCACATGGAGGGGCAGTGGGAGGGGTCGACACCAGACACCCTGGGATTTATCAGCCTGGGCTTCCATTTACCGAATCCTCTCACAGGGATCCACTTGGCTCACGGTACACTCTCACTTTATGTGTACAGACTGTAGAGCCCTCTGAGGCAAATTAGTAATTTGCGATTTTGGGCAAAATAAAATGAATTGAATTGAACTTTCCTTACATAAGAATATTAATGGCAGATATCGCTGGCAGAAACATCACCTGCTCTTAGGAGGATGTTCAGCCGTACCTTAAGTCTCCAGAGGGGGTAGGTGGAGTCGGGGTCCCTGTTGAAGAACCTGGTGGTTTTCGTCCCCGCACTCAACAGATACTCTGCAGGCAGACCTTGTGTCTGTGAGATGTACCGGATCTGCAAGACAAAAGACAAAACATGCACGTGGGACTTTTCACATCATATGCATGATTGAGCCTTAAGTATTAAGGGACACCAGTGAATATCACCAATAAACGAAAAGGGGCTAGATGTTCAGGATTGACGCTCGGCTTTGCTCCAGTCCATTATAGCTGCACGGCACCCAAATAGGACCTCAGCGCAAGAGCCTGAGATTAATTCGAGACGTGTAAAGCGAGACACTCTGCAAAGTTTTCGGGCTGGTGAAATATCAGACGGGCGTGTTCAGTGATGGAGCACAACTCCGCTGAGCCTCGCCCGGCTGATAGAGAGAGGGGTAACGCGGCAGTGTCTTGCTCTGGAGCACAGGGGCTGCGCTAATTGGACAAGTGGCTCTGTGGCATCTGTTCAGATAAACAGGAAGGCTGCTCAAGAATCGTCAGGGGCTGTCGGGGGGATTGCAGAAGCACCCCAGCCTCCCAAACACACTCACACTCATAGAGAGAGAAAACAGATGTATCCACGTAACCCGTAACTGCACATGAAGTGAAGTTTGTGATTATTTAAGCACCCGAAAACACGCGATTATGAGTGCGGAGACACAGTTCGGAGGTCCAAACAATCCTTGCGTGTTACCTGATCGTACTCGGAGGCTCCGGGGTAGAGGGGCCATCCCAGGAAGAGCTCGGCTATCACACAGCCCAGGGACCACATGTCTATGGCCTCGCAGAACGGCAGGCCCAGGATGATCTCTGGTGCCCTGTGTGGAGAGAAGACGCAGTGCTGTTAGAAATCAGACATGCGTGCAGAAGACCGACAAATGAGCCCGGTGCATCACGCGCAGGTCAGAGGAGGAAATCATCTAGTGTGGGAGTGAGCTGCACGGCCTCCAAAGTCAATAGGATTTTAATTGGACAATTTACACACGCGGATGATTGCGTTCGTATTTGCACGCAAACATACTTTTCAACCACCAAGAAGGAGAATCAATCAATGGATCTATTAATCGTTAAAGTGTGAAGGCTGTTGTATTAACTTAACATTGATCCCTCAATGTAGCCTTGTCCACTAGGCTACATTTTGTTTAGGCAGTTCTTCAAGGATCCACATGGCGGTTAACTGATGAAGAAACACACAGGAGCGCTGCAAAGAGCCAGAAGGGTACGTCTTCAAAGTGCCAGGGTCCTGAGCCATAACGCAGTGTGGAAGCAATTGCGCCATAAAAAGACATTTAAAAAACATAAAGATTGCATGGAGTTAGAAAATGAGCTTCATCCGGCTTTTAGTGGGCTGCATTTAAGTTAATAGTGCCGGTGCTTAAATCCTAGACACTGGAATACATAAACTATAACAGTGATGCACAAAGAGACGTTTTCAGTGCAGATAAATATCTATGATTTGATAAAAGAAGAAGAAATATCGCTTCAGTTATGTGAGCAGCAACGCAGTCCGAAACAATTGCCAATTTCCATTCAACATGCTTTATATCCTGTCATAAAGGCTAATTCACTCCTTGTGAGCTCACATCTCTGATGGAGTTTAAAATAACCAAGAACACAGACTCTGCTCTCTAACAACCCGGAGCCCTTTCAAGAGCTCTTCTTTCTGTCATCGGCATGCGGAGGACACTCTGGGTCTTAGATGTTGCCTATTGGTGAAAATGAGCCAATATATAATCTATCTATCTAGACGGAAATCCTTGTCTCTCTTCCAATGACACATTAACAGCGTGACACACAGATCCCAGGATCTTAAGGCTGATCTTGGAAAGTTTCTCACTCGTGGCTGAGTTCACATGGCCGCTGTGACCATGGAAACCGGGCCTGCGCTACCCCCCCTCCCCCCACCCCGCCCCCCCGAAGCAGAGAGAGACGCGGTCCTGCTGGGACTGTAGGTACCAGAGAAACAGGGAATATGGAAAACAGCACGGGGTCCATTAAAGGATTTTATACGCTTGTTTGGGGGGGGTGTAGTGGTCCGGGGGCAGCAGGGGGGAGGTGGGGGGGGGATTTGGAAGAGAATTAATGAACATACCTCACAGACTTAAAAGCTAATTTCTAACTGTAGGCTCTGTGGCCCCTATTCATTGCAACAAAAAAAAACAAAAAAAAGCAAGACCAAAAAAGAGGGCACAGGCGATTCATTGTATACTGAGATGGTTCTAATAGAGAGAGACAGAAGAGGCCAAAAGAATAGACGATAACACGCTGGATAAGAAATATAAAACTGGGAAACAAGAGTTCAAGAGAGGCTGAGGCACAAATAAAGCGAGTGAGGGGGAGCAGTGAGGAGCGTCTGTCACAGAAGGTGGTTATTGGGGTCCGTAAGGGCAGCAGTGGACAACACGCTAGCGGCAGTATCTCAGGGCACCGTTACACACCAAAACAAAGACACCTTCACACACAATGAGCCCAGACGTCCATCAAGGGGCTGCCAAGGAGGCATAAAGGAGTCTGCTATGAGGTGATAGCAGGAGGGGAAGAGAGAGGTCGGCTGAAGGTCCTGTTAGAATAAGGGAACAATGACGACCGTGCGCACATCTGTACACATGAGTAAACAATAGGGGCGGCCTTCAAGGACGGCTGAGAGGCCGTCACACCTTCAGCGGGACGTTGTGCTCAGTCAAACTTGAGAATGCTAATAAACACACATTAGCATCTTCTTGCTTTGGAGTAGGTAGATTCAAAGTCTTCAGAACCTGAAGCCAAAACACTTTAACAGTTTGATGACAAAACATCCCTGACAGTACGATCCAGACATTTGTGAAGGTTATGTTCTATTTATAAATTCAAATACCCCGTTTGGTACTTCCAACTCGTTGCTTGTCACGCTGTGCAGAAGTTGATAATAGAAACAAGCGGCGTCCACATTTCGGCACATTTAGTGTTTTTTTTTCTACCTGTAAAATATTTATAAGATATAATGAAACCTGCTGTACTGCAGCAGACCAGCTCTCACAACACAAAGCTGATTTTTTGGCTCAGCTGGGAGAAAATTCTCCCCATCAAAACACATTGTGAAGATGAAAGCCACAGGAACCCTTTCATCACATGGTCCTCCAGATCACTTTGACTCCAGCCGACGCATGCAGACCACAGGATTTTTTTTTACCAAGATCCTGAACTAATAAGTCACTTAAAAAACAAGTCACCATCATGGTATGTGATTCATATTAGATGCCAAAGAAAGGTGGCTTTCATAGTAGACGTCAACGGAATGTACTTTCACGAGAGCAGCGTTAGGTATTCAGCCTCAGCGCAACGTTTCCATTTATGTGGCCATAGCTGTGTGCCGTGACCACACGGACTTTGCCCCTCAGTACGATGGTGAGATTTGCTAGTGTTGATGTTATTCTTGGATCCATTTCATACCGAACCTTCCTAAGTTATGCTCCACTTAGGCCGTTCTCATGGCTCCTGTGCCTCTCACAGAAAGCTCCTCCCGTTCAGCGCGTGTCAGAGAGACAGAAAAAACGAGAGCAAAGGAAGGGAGGAAGGAAGAGAGACGGAGTCGCGTTGTTGCTCATGATATGCAAATCTGCCCCCGAACCAATGCACTGCTGCCATCGCATGCAAAGCGCCTCCACAGCTGCTGCTGATACAGGCCTTTCGCTGGCAGTGATAAACAGCATGCACACACATCTGCGCGGCTCACAAACCATGCCTCTTTTCCGGCCCCCCCCCCCCCCTCTTTCCTCTCTAAAGCAGCACAGTAAACAAGAGTGACAATTTACGAAGACAGGGCAAGTTCAGTTTTTGATGCCGTGGGAGACGTTGCTGCTTATCTCCATTGAAAGTTTAAAAAAACAGCACGCAAGCAGCCAGATGTTGAGTTCACACTCAAACTATTTGGTAAAAGGAATTCTGGGGTATATTCGAGATTAAACTTGAACACTTGAAAACAACAAATGGACAGCAGAAGAGTAATGTCTTATGGAAAAGTACAGTTTTGTCAGACAGACAGAACCACATTAAGAGTCTGTAGCGATGCTGGTGGCTCTGTGAGGCTGTGCTGTAGGAAAACCTTATCAGCATTTTAATACCCTCGTCAGGGCGAGGCTCCCGTGTGGATGCTGACCAGGTAAAATGGTCCCCACCTTAGTTTGCCATGTTTTAATAAAAAAGAACAATTTCAAAATGTGACCAAATTCCATGGCAACCCATTTAATAGTTATTGTGAGATGTCATCTGAGCCGCACAAAGTAATGGTGGCGCCGGACCTGGGGGAACATTGAACATCCATAGAGCCACTACAAGCGACAACCTTATCTCCTGGTAATCTATAACAGAGGTGCTTGGATACACCGCCTGGACGTGCTACATTCGGCTGACACTGCCTGTTTATCAACCCTTTAGCTCCACCCAAACCTAGCTCACCTCCCGTTGGCATGGCTACCTTCGGAGGGGTGGCGGTGAGCTCCTGGCGCGCGGACCTCGGGAGGTCAAATGACAGACGGTGTGCAAACCACCGGCAAGTCAGAGGCTCTCTCTGGATCTCAATGGGGACCCAACAGCATGAGAGGCCTCAGTGTCCGGGCCAGTGGCTCCGACAGCACTGGCCGTTGAGAAAAGAAAAAGGCAGGGAAGGATGGGTGAAATGGGCGAGGGAGGCAGAGAGAGGGAGGGGGGTGGGGGGGTCTTCATGCTGACATCCTCCCAGCTGGCCTGGTCATTGATGAGTCCCAGTCCCCTTGGTAGCCAGAGATGGCACCACTCATGAATGGAGCCTTTCTTAGCCCCCCCTCCCTCCGCACTTGCCCCCTCTGCCATCGCAGCCAACCCCTACACCTCACGCAACCTCGCCATCCACCACCTCTGCCACCGAAAAAACCCATTCAAATCTCCCAGACTAGGGGGCCAAGGCCAAGGCCAGCGCTCCCTCCTCTGCTTGCCTGTCTGCCCTCCGCTCCGTTGAGCTGCGCCGCCAGCCCACGCACACACACACACACACACACACACACACACACACACACACACATGAGCACATGATGCAGACACACAAACGCAGATGCACACATTGATGACATCACGGGCCGTGTGTGCATGTCAGGATGTATCCATCAGGCTGACCTTCCCTGAGTTTGGCTCCAGACGGGATACTGATGGATCCCTGGACCCCCGCAGCATTTAGAAAACACACATACACACACACACACACACACAGGGGTCAGCCAGTCAGAAGTAATGGGTTTGATCTCTCTGCTTTCTGTTTGAGTACTTCATCATGCAACTGTGTTTCACTCAAAAGGCAGGCAGCCAGTTATACATAAAGAGCAGGATTTAGACTGGAAGTAAATAAGATTGTATGATGTCTTGAGCAGTGTTTTGAGTGCTAAAAGGAAAAAGTACGTCATGAGAAAAGAGCCTGCCATTAACGTTTGTCCAATCTATTTTATTCTCCTCTGTCACTTTCCTCCCCCATCTCCTTGCCTCTTCCCCTCTATCCACCCCACACTTCCTGGCCTAATGCAAAATGCTGGGGTTTGTGGTGTGAATGGCTCCCCGTCCTCCCGCAGGTAACTCATCTGCATATAAATGCCCTCAAAAAGGTCCTTGACAACCTCTTTGGAGACACACCATAGAGAAACACTTTTCTCCATGTATTGCATGGTGGTCGGCGACTGTGAAATCAATGTCCAGAGCAGCCATCCCCCTGCTGTGCACCTGTGGCCTGCAAAAGCCCGCCCCAACACAAGACACACACATGCACAGTACACACTACACCTCTCCAACCGCTCCACCTGCTCGCGTGACATCAGAA